AAACATTTGTAAAGCACTTATCAAGATTATTTCATTTTTAGAAAAGACTACAAATTATAAGTAAGGGCTGAGAGAATTGTGTCAACAGGGACATGGGGAATATATATTTCTCCTCCAGATATACTAATATTGAACCTAGTCACTTTCCAAATCCACTTTATTGTGAAGCTTTCCATCACACAAAGCTGTTTCAGCCTAACCTTCTATGCCACCTAACCTTTCAGTACCTCAAGAATCTGCCTGATTTTTGTTCCCCAGGCTCAGATTCTTAGTTAAATATCCACTTGCCTTTATCAAAGAGTATATTTAGTTGATCCATAACTTTCCAGTTTGTTTTTTTTCCTTTAGGTTGACAGTCCCTCGACATCATGTGTTTTCTCTTACGTACTGTGTAGCTCTACCAAAAGCCAAGTGGAACTAAGATGTTATTTGCAGAAAGAACTGTTAAAAGAAGTTTTTGGAACTATGAGATGTGAGTCTCTAGCCCTGAATGAAATGTGTTTAAGCAATTCACTTAAATAGAGATCGGTCCCTCAGAGATATTCTAAAGAAGTGAACACTAAATGGGAGGGTGGCTTTTGTTAAATATGAGATATATGATTGCCCATTTGTCCTTGACCTTGGGGAAATCAACATGTTATATTGGCAGGTAGTCATTTGACTAGCTAGGCATAACATCAGGGGATTTAAAAAAAATATTAGCATGCATCAATACATATCAGTAGAGTCATATTTAAAATGACATGTATAATAGAGATCAGATAAAGTAGAAGATAGAAAATGCTTAAAATCCTATAATAATAGAATCTCCAAATGATTTATTCACTAACTCTACTAAATAATAAAGTTGAAAGTGGTTTTTACCTTTCCCAAGTGAACAATATTACTACAGGGTGCTAAATTACCCCAATTACAACTTGTTTGATATGGTAATTTAGAGGCAAATGGAATGGGGGAGTAAGAGAAAAGAGTCCCCCCAAAGTGTGAGTTAAAACAGGTACAGCAGATGTCAGGGAACCTCATATGGGTGCTTTTACAGTAGTTACATAAATTGCTTCTTTCATACATCACAAGATTTAATTCCTTTCTTCCAAAGAGCTAGCACCAGTTTATTTCCTTCTTTGAAATGTATGATAAAATACAAAACCTCTTAAAGACTCAATAAGATTAAAAATAGATCAGTATTAAATAGGGTACCAAGATTCATTGTACTGTAGGTGATGGGAAAGAGACTTTATGGATACATTTTTCTTTCCTAATCTGCACAAGTCACATAGGATTTAGTGAAGAGTTTGCACTACATATAAAGCAGCTAAATTGATCTCTTCACATTCTAAGGTTCTCACACTATGGATAATGTTTATTTTTTAGTCCTACCATCCTTCTCACGAAACAGGTCTCGCTAGGCTTTGGTGATCTTTGAGCCTTACTCTGCCTCTCCTCATATTCTTTCTTTGATGTGTAATGTTCTTTGGTTCATTCTCATCTTTTCTTTGTTTCAAAAGCCTAATAAATTTTTGAAGCTAGCTCAAGCTAACTCTTACCTTGGTGGATTATGTCATGACCAATTCCAGTTCATCTTGCCCAATCTATTTGGTAAGGAAGTTATTTTGAGAGGCAGATGAGTAGGGTAGCAACAATTCAGCTGTTAGATAATCTCCAGTTTGTGTTCTATTTACTGGCAATGAAAATCACTCTGGAATTCACTTCCTCTGTGCTTCCTTTCACTATGACAGAGTAGAACATATAGATGAGCTAGGTCAGACCAAAAAGCGCTGGTCTGACGGCAGTTTTGCAAGAAAGATGACTTGTCTCTTTTTTGTTTGTTTTTTTGGTATGCGGGCCTCTCACTGTTGTGGCCTCTCCCGTTGCGGAGCACAGGCTACGGACGCGCAGGCTCAGCAGCCATGGCTCACGGGCCCAGCCGCTCCGCGGCATGTAGGATCTTCCCGGACCGGGGCACGAACCCTTGTCCCCTGCATGGGCAGGCGGACTCTCAACAACTGCGCCACCAGGGAAGCCCGACTTGTCTCTTTTTAAGATTTATTTTCCTTTGGGTTACTATGGGAAGCAAATACTCAGAATAAAAGATACATAATGCATAACAATAAATGAGCAGACACAAAATGATTGACCTCTTCTGCATTCTTTTGTTACTCTTTATGTTCCCTAGTTCTTCTTGGAGGTGCTGTTGTTCTTAATCAGAAAACTACTGCAGCCTGTTCCTAGAAAGGAAAAAAAAAAAGACTTAAATTGGAGGTAGAAAGAAACCAGAAACTTCTTGCCCTTTATATGGATAGTAAGGACATATGCCAATTACTCTAGGCTCTATCCACCACCAAATAAGGCAATTGTTGCTGAGCCACAGTTACATAACTGGTACTCTAATATTTTTAATAACACATTGATCCTTCAGCTGCTCTGGCCATGCCTACCAAAAACGTTTTAGTAGCAGTGATATTTTGGTATCAGCCAGAGTAGATTCTTGACAGAAATGCCTAAGAATGAATGCATTTATAAATAACTCATCTACCTGGAAAGGAACAACACATACTAATGCCCAGAGATACAAGCATGTTTACAGTTAGTGAATTAAAAAAAAAAAAAAAAAAGGTGAAACTGAATTTTACTTAATTGTTAAACACAGTTGTTCTCACCTTCACTGGCTTACCTTGCCTTATCATGTGACTTAAATTCTTTTTTCATTTTGTGTCCTTTCAGAGCATTTTTTGCATCTTTTTATTTTGGTCAATTGACTAAATTCCCATCTATTATTCTGTACTTTGTTTTTTATTTTTTGCTCTCCATTTATTCCTTCAGGATTTCCTATTTTTAGATGGTTATGGAAAATAGCATAGTAAATTGAATTAGTTACACTTTTTTTTCTTGGTTAAGTTGTACATGGCTCACTGCCCTTGTTTGTTGAAAATATCTTACCATCTGGGGAGCCTCATTCTGTTCTAAGGTAATGGACTAAAGTATGTATATAGGGATCATAGTCCCTCTTTATATGACTTGTAAACCTTTCCCAAAATTGTATCTTTTAAACTGCTCCTTTTCTAATACAATTTATCTGATCAAAAACCTTGAGTGATTTTTTAAAAAATTATGCCTTAGATATAATCCAAACACCTTCATTGTTCATTCATAATCCTTCACAACTGTGTCCTAATTTGAAATTAACCTTTCCTCTAAGCAATTAATCTTACATATCCATTATTTATGACTTGACTTCTATTACTTACTTGGAAAATTATTTCTTTTCCTCTCATCTGACATAAATCTTAAGCATTTTTTGTATTCAACTCAAATATCACCTTTATGATATTGTATTTTGACTCCTTCCCTCTTCTGAACTCACATATGGTTTATAGTCTCTGCTATTCATTTTATGCTTTTCATAAAGTCTTATTTATAAACTATCTCCATACATCAAATACTTTTTCAACTATATTAAAAATATAGGAAAGTGGTCATTCTTTTTTTGTTTTTATTGCTACTCTAGTAAGACTTTTCTGATAGTATCAATAATTACTTAGGAAATATTCATTGTTTGTTAGACTAATACAGCAGATTATACTATATTGGGTATAATAATAATCTAGTGTAGAAGTTTCATAGTGGTTCCTATCAAAGAATAGCTCAGATAAATGTGTTAATGCTGATGATGTCTATCCATAAGGGCACAGATGAAAGGGATATATTTGTGTGAGGAGATGGTGACTTAGACTTTAGATTTTTATGTCCAACATGACACCCATTTATTTCTGATCTTTTTTTTTTTTTGAGTAGATGCATTGATTGGGATTATGGTGTGAGTTTAAATAACGCAAAGATTAATTTGGCAGAAAGTTATTGGTGAGTTTTTATTAATCTCATTAGCTAATACTTTGAATTTCAAGACTTTACAAAACATCTCTATTTTTTACCAGGACTTATATAGCTCATTATACCATTTCTCTCCTAATACCACATTACACAATGTTCCCTCCCAAATTTAGCTTTGTATAACATATATTGAGTCCACCAATATTGTGTGACAAGGGATGTAGAGGGATGATTCACTAGAGAAAAAGAATAACTTTTTGCTGTTTATACTTGGATTTCATTCCTATTTTCTTTTGGTAAGTCTTGTCATCTTACCTTCAGCATCCATCGTCAAACTCTAAGAAGTGAAGAAAATGCCCACTTTGCAAGACCTGTTGGTGTTAGGGTCTTTATACCACATATAACAATATTAGATAAGCAGGTGCATGGCATCTGGAAAGAGATGTAAGTCATTCAAAGACAATATGGCTTTGGAGAGTATAATTTTCACTGACTTGCTCAGGCCAGTAGTTAAGGAAAATAAGATTACTGAGGAACTATGCATTTGCTCTATCCTGCTATAGGTATAGCTCTAGAACACTGAGAACATTGAGAAAGGCCATTATACCACCCACTTCTGACTAATGCCTTTCTAAAATGAATGGTTTGAGTTTAAAGTGTTTGCAGAATATCTAAATAGGGATAAACTTTAGGTAATTGAGTGTATATATGTTTGAATCTTGATAAAAGTGTTAAAAATAACTATAGTTACAATATTTTGTTAATGGATACACAGTATAAAAATACATAAATTGTGACATCAGCAACATAAAATATGTGTGTGGGGCAAGTAAAAGTGTAGAACATTTATGTGCACTTTCAATTAAGTTGTTACCAGCTTAAAAGAGATTGTTTATAACTATAAGATATATTATGAAAGCCTCATTGTAATCACAAAGCAAAATCCTATAATAGGTGCACAAATGATAAAGAGAAAAATTCAAAGCATACCACTTCAAAATCATCAGTTCACAAAGAAAGACAATACGAGAGGAAGAAAGGAACAAAGAAACTAGAAAACAATCAGAAAACAATTTTTAAAATCAAAATAGCAAGCCTTTACATATTAATAAATACTCTAAATGTAAATAGAGTTTAAATTCTCCAATTAGAGGACATATAATATAAATGGATTGAAAAAAAAGACTCAACTATATGCTACACACAGAGACTCATTTAAGGTTTAAGGATACTCACAGACTGAAAGTGAAGGGATGGAAAAAGATATTCCATGCAACTGGAGGCCAGAAAAGGAGAGGGGTAGCTATACTTAAGTCAGACAGAATATACTTTAAGTCAAAAGGAGGGTAACAAACAACAAAGAAGGTCATTATATAATTATAAATAGGTCAATTCATCAAGAGGATATAAAATTATATATGTACCCAAAGCATCTTAATATACTAAACAATTATTAACAGATCTTAAGGCAAAAATATACAGCAATGCAATAATAGTAGGGGACTATAATATCCCACTATTAACAATGGAAAGATCATCCAGGTAGAAAATCAATAAGTAAATAATGAAATTAAGCTATAACTTAGACCAATTGGATCTAACAGACATATAGAACATTCCATCCAACCTCAACAGAATACACATTCTTCTCAACTGCACATGGAATATTTCCCAGGATAAATCATATGTTAGTTCACAAAATAAGTCTTAGCAAATTTATGATGATTAAAATTTTATTAAGTATCATTTTCAAATACAATGGTATGAAACCAGAAATCATAACAGGAGGAAGACTGGAAAAGTCACAAATATATAGAAATTAAACAATACACTTATGAACAGAGTCAAAGAAGAAATTAAACATATTTTGAGACAAAAATTGACACCAAAATTTATGGCATGAAGTACAAACAGTTCTAGGAGGGTAGTTTATAATGATAAAGCCCTACATAAAAAAAATAAAGACTTCAAATAAACAATCTAACATTAAACCTCAAGGAACTAGAAAAAGAACAAACTAAGTCAAAATTTAACAGAAGGAAGAAAATAATAAAGACTGGAGCAGAAATAGAACAGAGGCTAGAGTGACAATAGAAATAATCAATGAAATTAAGAGTTGCATTTTTAAAGATAAAATGGGCAAAGCTTTAGCTAGACTAAAGAGAAAAGAATGATGAATCAAAAAAAAAAAAAAAAAAAAAAAAAAAAAAAAAAAAAACAACTCCAGAAATGAAAGAGGAGACAGTAAAGTGATACCACAGAAACACAAAGGATACTAACAGACAACTATAAACAATTATATACTAACAAACTAGATAACTTAGAAGAAATGGATGGTCAGAATGGCCATCATCAAAAAATCTGCAAACTATAAATGCTTGTGAAGGTGTGTAGAAAAGGGAACCCTCCTACACTGTTGGTGGGAATGTTAATTGGTACAGCCACTATGGAGAAGAGTATGGAGGTTCCTTAAAAAACTAAAAATAGACCTACCATATGACCCAGCAATCCCACTCCTAGGCATATTCCTGGAGAAAACCATAATTCAAAATGATACATGCACCCCAGTGTTCACTGCAGCACTATTTACAATAGCCAGGACATGGAAGCAACCTAAATGTCCATCAACAGAGGAATGGATAAAGAAGATGTGGTACATATATACATGGAATATTACTCAGCCATAAAAAAGAACAAAATACTGCCATTTGCAGCAACATGGATGGATCTAGAGATTGTTATACTGAGTGAAGTAAGACAGAGAAAGACAAATATCATAATATATTGCTTATATGTGGAATCTAAAAAGAGGGTACAAATAAACTTATTTACAAAACAGAAGTAGAGTAACAGATGTAGAAAACAAACTTATGGTTACCAGGGGATAAGCAGGAGGGGGGATAAAATGGGAGATTGGGATTGACATATACACACTACTATATATAAAATAGATAACTAATAAGGACCTACTGTATAGCACAGGGACCTCTACTCAGTACTCTGAAATGGCCTATTTGGGAAAAGAATCTAAAAAAGAGTGGAGATATATATATATATATAACTGATTCACTTTGCTGTACAGCAGAAACTAACACAACATGGTAAATCAACTCTAATAAAAATTTAAAAAAAAAGAACAATGGATAAATTCTTAATCATTTACAACTTACCAAGACTGAATCATGAATTAATAGACAATCTGGACACAGCAATAGCAAGCAAGGGAATTGAATCAGTAATAAAAAAAACTCCTGACAAATAAAAGCCCTGTACCAGATAGATTTACTGCCCCTGTGGTAATACCAATCCTTCTGAAAATTTTCTTAAAAATTAAAGAGAAAGGAACACTCCCAAACTCATTTTATGAGGCCAATGTTACCCCAATACCAAAGCCAGATAAGGACACTACAAGAAAAGAAAATTCTAGGACAATAATTTTGATGAACATTGATGTGAAAATCCTCAAAAAAAAAAAAAAATACCAGCAAACCAAATTCAAGAGCAAATTAACAGAATCATACACAATGATTCAGTGGGATTTACTCCTGGGATGCAAGGATGTTTCAAAATCCATAAGTCAATCAATATGATATACCACATTAACAGAATGAAAGATAAAAATCATAGAGTCATCTCAATAGATGCAGACAAGCATTTAACAAAATTCAACATCCTTTCATGATAGAAACTCTCAACAAATTAGGTGTGGAAGGAATGTACCTCAATATAACAAAGGCCATATATGATAAGCCCACAGCTAACATCATACTTGATGAAAAATTGTATACCTTTTCTCTAAGATTGGGAATAAGATAAGAATGCCCATTCTCACTACTTCTATTCAACGTAATACTGGAAGTGGTAGCCACAGTGATTAGGCAAGAAAAAGAAAAGCATCAAAATTGGAAAGGAAGATGAAAGATTATTTGTAGATGACATCATCTTATATGTAGAAAACCCTAGTGACTCCACTAAAAAACGGTTATAACTGACAAATTATTTCAGTAAAGTTGTAGGTAAGAAATAAACATAAAAATATATTGCACTTTTATATACTGACAACAAGCTATCTGAAAGAAAAATCAAGAAATCAGTTCTATTTATAATAGCAATGCAAACAACAAAATACTTAGCAATAAATTTAAACAAGGAGGTGAAAGACCTGTACACTGATAAGATATTGATAAAAGAAATTGAGGATACAGATAAATGGAAAGATAGCCCTCCATGTTCTTGGATTAGAATAATTAATGTCTATACTACTCAAAGTGATCTATAGATTCAATGCATTCCCTACTGAAATTCTAATGGCATTTCTCACATAAATAGAAAAAACAACTCTAAAATTCAAGTGGAACCACAGAAGACCCTTACTAGCTAAAGTAATCCTGAGCAAGAAGAACAAAGTTGGAGACATCACACTTCTGACTTCAAACTACATTACAAAGCTATCATAACCATATGCTACAGGCATACAAACATTCACATAGACTAAGATACTTAGGAACAGAATAGAGAGCCCAGAAGTAAACTGACATATTAACAATCAACTACTTTTCAACAAGGGACCAAGAATATATGACAGGCTAAGGATAGTCTCTAATAAATTATGCTTGGAAAACTGAATATCCACATGCAAAAGAATGAAACAAGACCACTCTCTTACACCACTCACAAAAAATTATATAAAGTCTTAAATGTAAGACCTAAAACCATAAAACTCCTAGAAGAAATCACAGGGGAAAAGCCCCTTGACATTGGTCTTTGCAATAATTTCTTGGCTAAGATGCCAAAGGCACAGGCAACCAAAGCTAAAACAAGTAAGTTAGGACTACATCAAACTAAAGAGCTTCTGCATAGGAAACAATAAATTGAAAAGGCAGCCTACAGAATAGGAAAAATTATTTGTACACTGTATATCTCAGAAGGGGTTAATATCCAAAATATATAAACAAAACTCATACAACTAAATGGAAAAAAAGCAACTAGTTCAATTAAAAATGGGCAAAGGACCTGAATAGACATTTTTCCAAAGAAGACATATGAATGGCCAGTAGTTACCTGAAAAGTTGCTCAACACTACTCATCATCAGGGAAATGCAAGATATCCCCTCATATTTGTTACAATGTCTATTATCAAAAGATAAGAGAGAATAAATGCTGATGAGATTGTAGAGAAAAGGGAAGCCTGTGTATTGTTGGTGGGAATGTAAGTTGGTGCAGCCACTATGGAAAGCAGTGTGTAAATTCCTCACAAAATTAAAAATAGAACTATCATATGACCCAGCAATCCCACCCCTGGTTATAAATCTAAAAGAAATGAAATAAGTATCTCTAAGAAATATCTGTACTCCCATGATAATTGCAGCATTATTCACAATATCCAAGATATGGAAACAACTTAAATGTCCTTTAAAGGATGAATGGGTAAACAAAATATGATATATATATATATATATATATATATATATATATATATATATATATAAAGAAAATGTGATAGATATAATTTTATATATATATAATTTTTATATAAAATAGAATAATAGAATATTATTCAGCCATAAAAAGGAAGGAAATCCTGCCACTTGCAACAACATGGATGAAGCTGGAGGGCGTTATGCTAAGTGAAATGAGCCAGATAGAGAAGAGGAAATACTGACTGGTATCGCCTACAAGTAAAATCTTTAAAAAAAAAAAAAGAAAAGCTGATTTTGTAGAAATAGTGAATAGAATAGTGGTTGCCTGGGGCTGGGAAGAGTGGGAAATAGGGAGATGTACATCAAAGTGTACACACTGTCAGTTGTAAGATAAATAAGTTCTGAGATTCTAATGTATAGCATGGTGAAAATGATTAACAATATGGTATTGTATATTTGAAATTTGCTGAGAATAAACCTTAAGTGTTCTCGCCACACACATAAAGAGAATTAACTGTGTGTGGTGTGGTGGTGATGAATGTATTAATTATCTTGATCTTGGCAATCATTCCACAATGTATATCGTATCATATCATATCATGTTGTACACTTTAAATACAATTGTATTGTCTATTATCTCCCAATGAAGCTGGGAAAAAAAAAAAAAACAACAGTTTATTTCTAATTTGTGAAAAGTCCATGCAGTAATTCAGGGATCCAGGCTCCTGACCTCTTGTGGATCTGTCAATCAACATGCAGCTTCTGAAATTACTTTGGTCATCATTAAGCTAGCCAGAAGGTCAAGGTCATGCAGCATAGATGAAGGAGATTTTAATGGTACTATTTAGGCAATGGTATACATTATTTGTTCTCACATTTTGTTGGCTAGTGCTTTGTTGTATGGTTGACCTGAACTCAGCTAACTACAAAGGAGTTGGGGAAATTTAGTCCAGCTGTGGGCCTGGAAATAAGAGGTTAGACAGACAGTTTGCAGGTTTCTGCCACATTTTCTAATGTAAACTCTTATGGGCTTTAAAACTACCTAATTCTAGTTCACACACTGATTGAATACAGTATGAAAATAATAATTTTTTTTCTACATAGGAGTATGGTGAAATAAACCTTTTGGAAGTAATCTTCTTCATTTATTTTTGGTGTTGGAGGTTTGAGAAATTAGCATTTATTAAGTGTTTAAGTTCTGTAAATGATGAACCAAGTAGATATAAAGCATATTGCTAGATTTATCTGAACATCTTTTAATAAATAAGAGAAATCCAGTTTATGACAGAACTGAGAAAAAACATGCTTTGCATAAAGAAAAATATGAATAACAAATTTACATTGATATTTAGTATTCCTAATTTGGAGAAAATTTTAATTTAATAGAGGTCTATTTTCCAAAAATAACTCCTAAAATACTAATAGCAAATAAGGGGACAGGAATCTATGTAGCTAATCAAAAACTTGCCTTTTCCTCATTCATTAAAGTGGGAGAAAAAGATCAAAACATTTTTCCAGTTTTATCTCTGCTCTCTTATCTTGCTCCCCACTCCCCCATCCCTCCTACACAAACATATAAGACAAGTAAATAACCTGAGCAGAAGATGAAAATCATACACATACAAAGTTTTTCTTATTTGTTTCCATGTATATGGAAACAAAATAAAATTTGAACTATAAAAAAATAGCAAAAGAAACATAAATGTCTCCCTCATCCTGTGACACAAGTATGACAATTATTTTCCCTTGAACATCTATTTGAATTCTTCTAGTGACTCTAGGTATACAAAATTACTAGTCATTATAGTTATGATTCACCCTGAATTCCTGAAATTGCATAAAACAAGAGGTAGTCTTCTTTCCTTTAATAAGTTAACATCTAAAAAGAGTGGGTTTTGTTAGAAACTGGGGCATCATGCTCGAAATTTGAATATTCTAACTTGATACCCTAATTATACGCATTATACAAATGAAAAGCTGTAGGGACTAAAGTACAGAAGAGGGAGGCAAGTGACTGAAAAAAAATCAGGTCTGTATACATTACTGTGAAGATTTTAGCATTAATAACTTTATAAAATAAAAAATTTAAATGCTGTTTAGAGATTTTAAAAATATACCTACATTTAGGCATCCCTAAGAAATATAAGCAGAATGCCCAACAGGTTGTAATCATTAAATACTTTCTTGTATTTCATCATTTCTATAGTTTCCATTCCAAATTTGCCCTGGAACACTTGTCTTTTGCATACCTCACAGTGGAGTGTGAAATTACATCATGCATGTATTTACATTCTTTGAATTTCAGAATGAACAATGTGTTCTTGGAGGGAGAGAAAGAGAAGGGGAAGAGGTTGTGGAGAAAATTAAATAATGAAAGAAATTCAACTGCTTTTGTACTCAAGGCCCTTATGCCCCAAGGTGAACCTAAGGAAGAAAGTGAGGTTTTTGCTGTTGGGGATGAGGGCTGGGATGAGTGCGGGCTTAATGCCAGTTTCAGAAGCCCTCTCATTGTTTAAGTGTCTTGTAGCCTGAGTGTAATTTTAGTGTTTGAGGACTCAAAATTGAGATACTAATGACTCTAAGTGCCAGTCAAAACTTCCATCTGTTGCCAGCTGACAAAACATCTGTCTGATCCATTGTTAGAGGAAAAGCTAGCTTTGGTAGCATTATTGCAGTATGATCTCTTATTACAAAATTTTCATGGGATGGTCAAAGGGATTACTCCCTTGTGTATGATTTGATTACATACGACTTAGGAATTAACTGATTTTAGAACATTTACCCTGTATGAGATGGGATTCCACTGGATGGGATGTAGTGCTGTATCATTTTTCCTTGTTCCATTTGTATGTTCACAGAGGTCCCCATATTAAATGGGTTTATTTGTATGCTTCTCTTTATTTTTCCAAAGGAAACTTACTGTCATTATTTCAGCATCGTTTATATGTCCTATTTTTCATGTCTTTACTTGATTCACTTACAGTTTCCAGAACTCATTCTTTAAAAGAGTCACAAGGCAATGAGATGTAACACTTATAATTAAAAAAGAACCTCTCTTAAATTAGAAAAAACTTCAAAAAATTATATACCTTAAATATTACTGGAGAAGGGTCAATAAATGCATGTTAAAATTCATGAAATATTTTATATTTCCAAATGCATAGTGTTTGTCATGAACCATCTAGTATAGACAATGCTAAAGTGTGGGAATAATTTTTAAAGATTTGAGCTTCAAGAAGATATCTCTTAGAGTTAGATTAGGACAGCAAGAAAGAAAAACCTGGGAAGCTCAATAGGAAGCTTTATGGTAGTGACAATGGTGATCACCAAAGTGGTGTGGCTCTTGCCTGTGCTGATGCATATTGTGCTGGAGGGGTATTAGAACTGCCTGTATTTTTAACATAGCATTAAAATACCTTTGAATGTTTTAAAATAAGCTTAATATATTAATGTAGTATTATGTAAATGATTTATAAATTGACATATGTATTTGGGTTAATCCTAAAATTCTTTTATTCTTGGTGGTGTATTTTCATTTTGGAGATTGCCAAGCCAGAAATCAATACTCAGAATACAAGGGGTGTCTAAAAGAGACTTTATGGAAACTTATGGAAATAAAACCTTTATTTTCTTGTAAGCATTTCTTACTGCTTTTAACATGACCGTACTTTTCTCTTGTAGACTAAATCTATAGTACAATATCAGAATTGATTTTGTAGCTACTTACTGTAATATTAAAAGCTTTATCTGAAGTGGTTATGGTATATAAATACTTGCAGAAGCTGAGAGGCTGCAAATCATGTTATATGACTTGTTAAGTTTATAGCATATTTATGTAGGTTATTAAGTAGGAAAACCCCACTTCTCCTGTTTGTCTCTCCTTTATTCTCATGCTGTTACCACACTCACAACACTTCTGACACCAAATGCCAAGTTTTTTCCCTCACATCAAGCAGTTCTCTTTGATACCAGCAGGGTGTCCTACAATTTAACTAAATTCTGACACTGTCTCCAGGTAGATAGTGTCAGATCCCACAGGTTAAGGACTCAGTCTCCCAAGACTGCTTCCCACTTCATATGCCAATTACAAGTAGTAGATCCCCAGGTTACCCACAGCCTTCCAACTTGGCTATAAATCAGAAGTTTCTATGACCTCCTCCCCCTTAGATTTGATTATTTGCTATAATGGCTCATGAACTCAGGGAAACACTTACTTATGTTTACCAATTTATTATATAATAAAGGGTATGATAAAGAATACAGATGAAAAGTCAGATGAAGAGTTACATAGGGTGAGGTCTGGGAGGGTCCCAGGCACAGGAACGTCTGTCCCCGTGGAGTTGAGGTATACCACTCTCCTGGCACTTGAATGTATTCCCCAACCTGGAGACTCAACAAACTCCAATACTATTGGACTTTTTATGGAGGCTTCATCCTGTAGGCATGATCCATCATTAACTCAATTTCCAGCTCTCCCTTTCCTGGAGAATGGGGAGTAGGGCTTGAAAGTTCCAAGCTTCTAATCATGGTTTAGTATTTCTGGTTCCATCCAGGAGCCCATACCACTTCTTTAGAACAAAACATACTCTTATTACCCAGGAAATTCCGAGAAATTTAGGAGCTCTGTGTCAGCACCTGGGGACAAAGACCAATTTTAGAACAAAAGATGCTCTGAGTGCTCTTATCACTTAGGAAATTACACAGGTTTTAGGATTTCTGTGCCAGGAACTAGGGGCAAAGACCAATGTATATATTTTCTAAATATTATTTAACAGTCATGGCCTATAATCACAGTTCCTCTACGGACCTGAAGTTAGCACTCTTGCAGTCTTGTCAGCATTACACGACCCGCAGGAGTTGCACTGGATGAACCTATACATATAATTGAAAGAAGCAGGTGATAGTTTCCAAATATGCGGATAAAGTGAAATAAAATTAACAATGCTTCTAAACTCCTGAACTTAGGTGAATAAGGTGCTAGCCTTACTGACCTGAATACCCAGAATAATGGATGAGAGTCAAGAGAAGGACCTCTGTTAGTTGCAGTATATAGATCATATCGTAAGGTTAGTGAAACATGTCTTTTTGATTATCATTTATGATACGTTATAAATTACAAGGTTTTTGGCTATATAAAACTTAGGTAAGCCTTTTAGCATCCTAGTGACATAGGTGGTGGTGGTTTTTTTTTGTTTTGTTGTGTTTTTTTGTTTTGTTTGTTTGTTTTGCTTTTTAAGAATAACCCGATACAGTAAGGAATATTCTAAGAGTCATAGGGAAAACTAATGAAGAAGTAGGAAGAAATACCTTTTTGTTCATTTCTATGTCATCTATATGTTCCTTTTGAGTCAAAGAGCTAACTGAAGACAAGTTTAAAAATTAGAATGCTCCATTCATGATCCTGTTTTATTTAAATCTTTACTTTTGAAAAATCTTTACTTTCTTGTAAGCTGTATTTTTATTTACATAGAATTATTTGAATCTTTCTTAGGGATATATGATTATGAACCAATTCTAATTTGGCTTCACAGGTTGAGAATCTGGCCAATGAAAAATGAGCTTCTTTTTGTGATATTGTTTCACTTCTTCTAAACGCTAATGAGAATTCAAGTTTTCTTCTTATTTTTAGGATTATATTTTGAAGAGATATTGTTCCTTGTGAATACAGGCTGAATCCTTAGAACAGTGTTTCTCAAAATATGGTTCACAACCACCTAAGCTGCTTATTAAAGGGTGGAGTTCTAGATCCAACTGCTGATGAACTGAAAGAGAATTTCTGCATGCAGGGCATAAGAATATGTGTTATAATAAGCAACATCAAAAGATTCTTATGCACATTAAAGTGGGAAAACCACTCTTAGAGTATACAAAGTTTTCTGGAAAATGTGATATGAAAAAAAATCTATGCATTAATTCCATGTATATTTTTCGGGGAAACATAACTTGAAAAGGTTTATATTTATATAGAGAGATACATATATTTATGTCTGGGATATTTTATCACTTTATTTCAGGATTTTAAAGATGCTGATTTTTTTTTAATATATTAATTCCTCAGTATTGTAAAACTATGTTAGGGGTATTTATTGAATACATCATTACTTGTCAAACAGTAACATGTAAAAATCTTACAGAAAAATCTCAGGTATACAGCATGGATATATATGTGTTAAGTTAGAGAAAGGTATTAGCTGACAATAACTACAAGTAAGATATATCATACTTTATGCCCATTAAGTGTATCGTTATAAATTTTTTCAGTTGTAGTATAACCTATGAAATTGTGATACAGCTCCTATAGTACTGTAACAGCATTTCATTACACCACTGAGACATATAATTGTGCAGTCAAAGTTTCTGTACAAGTGAAGGACTTGTAATGAAAAGCAGTCAAACAAGGCATGCAAAACATGGATATTTCATTTGTATCAGATAAATGTGTGTCTAAAATATAGAAGGTGTGAACCTATTGTTATTAACATTGCATGAATTTTGTTCTTGGCATTTTAATAATCTTCAAGTGTAAGAAAATACTTCTTTCTTTATTTCTCTGTCTGTAAATCCAATTATTTGACACTCATCTCAAACCATTATTTCTATCAAGAATGTGCTTGTATTTTTCCAGTTTATTTTTTAATACATCTTTATTGGAGTATAATTGCTTCACCATGCTGTGTTGGTTTCTGTTGTACAACAAAATGAATCAGCCACATGCATACATATATCCCCATATCCCCTCCCACTTGAGCCTCCAGCCACCCTCCCAATCCCACCCCTCTAGGTCATCACAAAGCACTGAGCTCATCTCCTTGTGCTATGCTGCTGCTTCCCACTAAATATCTATTTTACATTTGGTAGTGTATATATGTCGATGCTACTTTCACTTCACCCAAGCTTCCCCCTCCCCCTCTATGTCCTCAAGTCCATCCTCTATGTCTACGTCTTTATTCCTGCCCTGCCATTAGGTTCATCAGTACCATTTCTTTTCTTCTTCTTTTTTTTTAGATTCTGTATATATATATGTTAGCATACGGTATTTGTTTTTCTCTTTCTGACTTACTTGACTCTGTATTACAGACTCTAGGTCCATCCACCTCACTACAACTAACTAAATTTCGTTTCTTTTTATGGCTGCATAATATTCTATTGTATACATGTGCCACATCTTCTTTATCCATTCATCTGTCAGTGGACACTTATGTTGCTTCCATGTCCTGGCTATTGTAAATAGTGCTGCAGTGAACATTGTGATACATGTCTCTTTTTGAATTATGGTTTTCTTAGGGTATATGCCCAGTAGTGGGATTGCTGGGTCATATGGTAGTTCTATTTTTAGTTTTTAAAGGAACCTCCATACTGTTCTCCGAAGTGGTTGTATCAACTTACATTCCCACCAACAGTGCAGGAGGGTTCCCTTTTCACCACTCACTTTCCAGCATTTATTGTTTCTAGATTTTTTGATAATGGCCATTCTGACTGGTGTGAGGTGATACCTCATTGTAGTTTTGATTTGCATTTCTCCAATAATTAGTGATGTTGAGCATCTTTTCATGTACCTCTTGGCCATCTATATGTCTTCTTTGGTAAAATGTCTATTTAGGTCTTCCACCCATTTTTTAATTG